TGTTTGGGTGTGGTCACACCATGCCCATCTGGTGTGACACACACCCCTGTTACCAGGGGATGTGTAACCCCGTTTCACTCTCCCCCATTAAGATTGAGAACATTTACAGTTCCAATCGATTTTTGCCTCAACGAGGCTTGCGTGTCCGTTAGACACTGCGTTAGAACGAGACGACTTCTTTGCTCAATGATCCCATGTGTCATCGACACTGAAATCACCAAGTCTCGCTGGTTTTGACAGCGCTCACGGGTAGAGCCCAGCTTCGTCTCCCGCAAACAATACAATGTCGGACCGTGTCTCTGCGGTATCGCGCTAACGGTGACGAGTGACCTCGTTGGGAATGTGGAGGTGGTCGACTACGAGTCAGACACTCCTTTTCCCGGATAGAATGACGAGAAAGGCGAGCCGCACCAGCGGCGTGGTACGAGCCCTACTCGCGCCTTGCGGATCCCATGATTTTTTTCTGACCTCTCATCACCTCAGAACGTGGTGTCATCACCATTGACCTCAACAAGGTACAGAGGCGGCAGCTGAAAGCTGCCCGTAAGGCGGCTTCGATGTGCGCCAATCGATGGTCAAACATTGACACTTGTGTAGAATATGGCTTCCGTCCGGCGGATCCCGCCATGGAAGCGAAGGACGTGGTACCTCGATCGTTACGCCTCCACTTCATCGGGCCACCGGCAATTTCAGAAGATGGGTTTACCGAACATAAAGCTCTTCAAGCTCGTTTCTTGGTCCCACAAGAAATTTCGTTGGAAGTTTATCGCACACGTCTACTTGCTCAACGAGGTGGCTCTCTTGTACCAGCAATGCGGGCGGTACCTGTAGTGCTCGCCCCTGGCGAGAGCGCTACAGATGACGAAGTGCTCTTTGAGCGACGGGTGCAACGGCACCAAAAACTTTCCACACTGTATGCCTTACAGCTGAGCTACAACGAAGTGGACCTGCGTTTGGAGCGACACCTCCGATTTGAGCTTGCCAACCTCAAAGCACGCCGTCGACTCCCTTCAGACTGTCGCCCTGCGACGTATGCGTCAAACCCTAACGCTTCCGCGAGCTCTGTGTCTGCGACAGCAATAGCTCGGGACCACCGCTTGAGCTCAGCCCATGGTTCTTCTACTTCCCTGGCTATTGCAGGGAAGCGCGGGGCGTCCTGCTTTTTCTGATCAAAAGCGTCCATGGCGTCTGAGCAATCTTGCCGAAGTGGCGTCTCAAATTCTCGCGAGTTTTCGGAGTCGGGATATCCCCGCTACTTCACCAGATATTGGGTCTGACCCTGGTGGCAACGTCGTCTCACTAGACGTTCCACGTA